TCAAACCGTCAAATTAACTAATTTAGTCATACGAAGCTTCATTCCTTTTCTTTTTTCTTGTTTGATGAAAATATTTTGGTTTCTTTATTATACTATAACCTTTATAATTATTATTAGACATTTTTATAATTTATAAAAATAAGTTTTTTTTTTTTTTTTAAAAAAAAAAAAAAATTATTTTAAATTACTTGTATAACGATAACAGAATGTAATAGTAATACATATTGTCAAGGCATGTAGATCTTACCGTTTGTATGTATGTGATGTGAGGCACAGCATTACAAAGTTGTTTGTAAATATTATTTGAAGCTATAACAGTATGTTCCGACAAAGTCATCGTTAATTAGAATTTATTGAAGGATTGCAATAAAATGGAACAAAATATTTCGTTTCTCATAATCCCTTCCCTTTAATATCTTCTGTGCATTCTTTGTCAGATTGCGCCAATAACTCCTTCTGAAGGCTGTCCTTTATTTCAAATGTTATTAGCGTTAGAACTATGAGAAAACAATAATTTTATTTACTTGAATGTTTGGTTAAGGTAACTTTTATACGTTCCATACCCTATCTGCTTCCAAGTCATGTCAAATTTATAATGAACGATAATTAATGAGGATTACAAATTTATGTTCACTCGGTGCTTTGTAATAGTCTAGATATTTGGACTGAATATTAGGTTGTAATAAAACCGAAAACCGATTTAATGATATAACTAAAATATATTTTTATTTAATATTCATTAAAAGAAAATAATAAGCTAAACATATCATGTTAGATAAAAAATCAAGTATCACCTTCTTTCTTTAATAATAAAACTTGATTAACCAACCTGGAGATAATTGAGCACGTTTTGTTGAAAAATAATTACCCGCGTCGATTTCGCTAGGAACAGAGGTTGTAGAAATGGATAGAATTTTTTTTTTTTTCCAAATTGTGATAAATATAAACCCTAAAGGGATCGACTGTAATTTATCAATTTGCTGAAGTTTTATATTACGTAAACTTCATTATCCTTCTAAACTTCAAATTAATTTTCTTTTTACCAACCTCTAGTTTCAAAATTAAATAATTCAATTTCAAAATATTCTAAAAGCCTAACGCAAATGAAGAAAATACGATATTATATGATCCAGATCTATTTAAGTTAGTTAATTTGTGGAGTGGAGTCTCGTTTGTTTATTACCTGAAATATTTCATAATCTACAATCGGTTTAAATCATATGAACAATCGAAATTATTTTAGCTTCAATGTACCCTGAATTAATATATTATTTACTTGTAAAAGAAAATAAAAACTATCATGTAAATCCCCACTCCACTTATCACGCCTAGAAGATCTTTACCAAATAATTTAGCATTTTCTTGCAATTTTGAAATCATGATAGTTGAACCTTTGTTTTCACATAACTCATGAAATTTTTTTGCATCAAATCCATCTCGACTAGCAAGATAAAGAAGTTTAAATGAATAAGGATTATTCCAGAATTATAAAAGAATTCATCTTTTTATCAATCAACCTGTTATTATTAAGAAGTGATAGAACATAATCAAAAGATAAGTTGAATCTCTTGGGTAAAACTGAGGTACTTGGTGATGTATCAGGATCAAAATGATATCCAATTATATACCTATATAATTGATTAGGAAAGATTTGTTCAAATAGACTAACTTTTCGCCAAAAAGCTTTTGCAGGAATTTGAAACCATCTAATGTGTGAATCATATCGTGAAGAATAACACTTGATGTCCATCGAGATACATTATCGATATCTAAAGGCGTGGACATTTTTGAATTGCCTCATTTCAGAATATAATTCCAAATTTCAATTTCATTCATTTTTCTTTAGGTTCTTTTCCTAGTGATATAAATTTCGGAGATTTAAAAAATGATTCTGGATTTTTACAGATATTTTCTCAAATAATGAAATATAATTTGAAAATTTTCAACCGTTCCTTTTTTAAATACTCATTTTGATTATTGATCATACAAGTTTAGATATAATCTCTCAATTATTGAAGATTCAATTCGTCGGTTGCGATTAAAAGTTTCAACGCTATTGTACCATTTAGATTAATTAAATTAATAATTCCAGATAAAAGAATTTTAAAACTAACTCTATGTTTCTCCGGAAATCTTTAAGATAAGAATTCCATTTGATTTTCCTGCCCATAATTTTGAAAATGCAGCTTTCAAATATGTTGACCTTGCCCACAATTAATGAGTGCGCGAAATTTTTTTTCATATTTTTGCCTTCTCCAGCTTGAAAAATTACATCGTAATTTTCTTCACTAGAAAGGAGTTTTCCGACAATAATCTGGTAAAAAGATTCCCTCCATGTAGTAAAAAATTAAAGAATAATGTTTGACGATCGCACGCAAGCATGTAAATTCGGACTTATTTATACCAATTCGTCACGCGAATACTGCTCCGCAGCAAATAATAGGAATTTTGACGGATTATGAAAAGTTTTACTTAAAATATTACGTAATTAACTAATTACAGACTAATTAAAATTTTCAATTCTTAATTAAATTGATATTTGATAAAATTATTTTATCAATAACACTAATATGCTGAAGGAATTTATTTTCAATAACTGAATTCTTTAAAAATATAAGAAACACGTTATTTTACTATTACTTGGAATACTTCGTAATCTTCTATTTCGAATTCACCATCATTTTTTCTAATTAGCTTTTCATAGCTATTCTTGTAACATTGACCTTTTTTAAATGGGTTAAGCAATCCTAAATCAGCTTTATCATCTCCAAATTCTGGACCAAATTCATTCTCGTTATAAATTGCATGTTCCTTATCAATAACTTTACTGAAGATGAAACTTTTAGTGTTTTTGTCCAAAGAAAAAACAAAACTGTCTTCAGCTTTGCTAAATCCCTTCTCATCTGAATTCCAATTTAAAGGATTAAATCCTCCAAGGATTTCGTTCGTACCCTTAACGCTGGCAATAGCGAATGTAGGTCCTTTATCATCACAGAGTTTATGAAAATTTTCTACTTCAAACCCATCTCTGCTTCCACGGACAAGCAAATTAAAATCATATGTAGCAATAAATTTATCTTGTTTCACTATTTTAATAAAATTACAAATTAAAAGAGCTAGGTAAGAATTAATAATCTTGGAATCAATATTTTGAACATTATCATCAAAAGAATAATGTTCAAGTATCTGAATATATAAATCCGTATCGAAGGCATTCTTGAATGGTTTGACTTTCTGAATGAAATCCGCGGGACTAATCTCCTTAAATTTTATATGTGGTATAAACGGTTGAATAATCTTTCCAAATATTGATACTTCATTTTGCGTCCATTTTGTTTTATCCGATGGTAATTCATTAGATTGTGCAATACTCCATAACATTAATTTTTCCCAAATTTCAATTTGCTTTACAGAATGATTGTTTCTTGCAAGAATATCAAGGAGAATTTCTAGTTTGATTGTTGTAAAATCATCTGCTTTAAAGATTAATGAGGGATCTTGTTGAATAGAAATATTACAGAATTGGACCAATTTACTAAATAAAGTAAATTTAGTTGTAAAATCCTGAAAGAAAACAAAATTTTCTCTCAATAAAGATTCGTTATCAATAAGATATTCTTCAATAAAAGTACACAGGTTGTTAAGACATAATTCATCAGCTGCAATTAAAATTGCAAAATTTGTTTTAATATCATTGTTGGAAAGGTCAATAACGCCACTATAAATGTACCTAATTAATTCAATAAAATTCGTTAGATCACATAATATGATTAAATTAGCATATTGATGAAAAGGTGAATTACTTTAAAATTATTTCAAATATTTCAACAGTTTTTGAAATTTAATAACATTGTTTTCTGTTCTTTGCCAATCATTTGATAAAGCGGTACGGAAGTATGTTGAACGTATTTTTAAAATTTGGGAATGTGCTTTGAAGACTTTATTATTGGATTCTTCTCCAACTAGAAGTTCGATATCAGAAAATTCACTGGATTCAAGGATATTAATATATTCTTCGGAAGATAGTTTCCACAATTCGGAAGACATATTTTTTAGGATGAAAAAAAAAATTTTTTCTCATTTAAGGGGTTATCCTGATGTCACCTTTCACAAAATCAGAACTAATAATTACAAATGATATCATTAGTTAACGTTCACGTGGAACGTATTAGTCTCGTGACATTTTTTCATATTCCCTACTTTTATTGCGAAGGCCCTTCGATTTCGTTATGGCAATAATTCTTGGATAATTGTATAAAGAAAAGATCTTTGTTGCACCATTTTAAAAATTAGATGTTTGTAATACCATTTTCAAAAAAAATGAAGGCATCTATTTTTTTCTTTTTTTGAAATAAATTAATATTAACGACTTATTTTTTTACTTTGATATTAATAGCAATATTAAATTTATTTAATAATTATGAAGAATAACACAGAACAGCAGATACGCAATATCTTATAAGAAATTAAAATAATTATTTACACAGGGTAGAGTAGTTATTTACGTTGTATAAAACTTGGCTTACAATTCAGCTTTTTTAAAAACTTTAGCCCAATTTTTTTTATGCAATGTTCGGTTAACCAATATGAACTAATAAAGGTTATATCTAAATACAAATGCGAAAATATTTAACATTCAAGTTAATTTTTCTATTACTTGGAATACTTCGTATTCTTTTATTTCGAATTCTCCATCATTTTTTCTAATTAGCTTTTCATAGCTATTCATGTAACATTGACCTTTTTTAAATGGTATTCGCAATCTTAAATCAGATGACTCACGTCCAAAATCTGGACCAGTTTCACGATTATTAAAAATCGCATACTGCTCTTGAACAACTTTACTGAAGATGAAACTTTTTGTGTTTTGGTCCAGAGAAAATATAAAACTATCTTTAGTTCTGTGAAAACTATTAACTGATGTCCAATTTAAAGGATTAAATCCTCCAAGTATTTCGTTTGTATCCTTAACGCTGGCAATAACAATTGTAGGTCCTTTTTCATCACAAAATTTATGAAAATTTTTTACTTCAAACCCATCTCTACTTCCACGGACGAGTAGTTTAAAATCATAAGAAGTATTATAGTTATCTTTTTTCGCCATTTTAATTAAATTACCAAGTAAAGTAGCTTGGTCAGAATTAATTATCCTAGAATCAATAACCTTAGAATTAATATTAATATATAATTTTGAATGAACATTATCACCAAAAGAATAATATTCAAGTATCTGAACATAGAAATCAATATCGAAGACATTCTTGAATGGCTTGACTTTCTGAACGAAATCTGCGGGACTAATTTCCTTATAATTAATATATGGTATAAATGGTTGAATAATTGTTCCAATTATTAATACTTCATTATGCGTCCAATTTGAAATATCTGACGGTAATTCATCGGATTGCGCAATACCCCATTCTAATAATTTATCCCAAACTATAATAAATTTTTCAGAATGATTGTTTTCCACAAGAATTTTAAGAAGAATTTCTTGTTTGATTGTTGCAAAATCATCTGCTTTAAAGATTAATGAGGGATCTTGTTGAATAGAAATATTATAGAATTGGACCAATTTACCAAATTGGGTAAATTTAGTTATAACATCTTGAATGAGAACAAAATTCTGTTTTAATAATGATTCGTCGTCAAGAAGATAATCCTCAATAAAAGTACACAGGTCGTTAAGACATAATTCATCAGCTGCAACTAAAATCGCAATATTTGTTTTCATATCATTGTTGGAAAGGTCAATAACGTCACTATAAATGTACCTAATTAATTAAATAAAATTCGTTAGTTTCATAATATGATTAAAATTCATATCGAGAAAAGTTAAGTTACTTTAAAATGATTTCAAAAATTTCAACAGAAATATTCGGTTTTTGAAATATAATAATATCATTTTCTTTTTTTAGTAAATCGTTTGATAAAGCGGTACGGAAGTAAGGTGAACGTATTTTTAAAATTAAGGAATGTGCATGAAAAACCTTTGCATTGGATTCTTCTCCAACAAGAAATTTGATATCAGAAAATTCACTGGAGTCAAGTATATCATATTCTTCGGAGTATATTAAAAAAAAAAAAAAAGAAAAAAAAAAGAAAAAAAACGGTGGTTTCCACAATTTGGAAGACATTTTTTTAGGATGAAAAAGACGATGATCTTTTCGGATTTTTCATTTATGGTTAAAAATTGTATGGTGTCACCTTGTCACAAGTTGTTAGGCGCAACTCTGAATTGTTATTAAAAATTATCAAAACATAACGATAAACAAACAAAATGAATCTTATAGTTGGGTTGGAAACTAGACTCTTATTTTTATTATATTAAATTTGGAATAAGAAAATCTTTTTTTAAAAATTTACGTTCGTTTATGCTTTAAAAGTATTATCTTAAATATTTTTATTTTTAAATAATCAAATATATTATATTTATTAAGTGAGTCAAATAACATAAACAAAGTATATTTAGAAACTATATTTATTTTTATTTAAGGTTGCCAAAAATAAAATAATTACTATTTTCAAACAGGATGTTGCATTATCGTAAGGCGTAGCATTTCGGAGGTCAATAATTAAAATGATATACTTTATTTTATTTATTACTAGCTGTAACCCGTTGCTTCGCACCGGAAGTTAATTATCATCAGTCAAAGAATCAATATTAAATATGTCACACAAATCGCGTGAACTTTTTTTGTCATGTGCAACGTTTAATATGTTTTTCCTATTTTTTACTAAATAAAAAAATTTTTTGCATTTTTTTGCATTTCTGTAATTTCTGGATTAATAATAAGTACTCAAAGAGACAAGAAGAAAGAAAATTTTAATTAAAAATCTATAGTCCAAACCAGTCTTCCATTGCAAGCTAAGAGATGAACCATAGTAAAATCGGATATACTTTTCTTGTAGCCAAAAATGTTTAGTGACCTGATCATCACTACGCTAAAATAGAAAATTTCTTCTCTGAATTTCGTTGAACTAAACGTAACGAAAATTAAGGGTCACACAATTTAAAAATTTATTTATTTATACAATTATTCTAAAACGTTAATGATCTACATGTATTTTTTTATTATTATAGATTAGAATTAATTGACGAGAGAAATTAAATTAGCGAAGAAAATATTTATATGGAATAATTAAAGAAACAATCTAAGGGCAAATTCTATATTTTAAAGGAAATTTTCAATGATTTCATCTTTAATTATATAATCTCGGGAATGATTAATTTTAAAACTTTCAATAAATTTTGTAAGGATTTCTTTTTAAACAAACCAGATGCAATCAAGGACAAAATTTCATGTTCATTTAGGAAAGGATTATGTTGTAATTACTAATTTGTGTCATTAACAAACTTAGTGAGCTATAAATTAGTATGTGAGATTGATTTTCTTGTAATATTATCTAGTGTTTCGTAAAGGTCGAATCGGGCCGAATTTGGAATATATTTGAACTTGAATCCCAATATTTACGGAATACGAATTCGACTCGGCCCGATTATAGTTGAATTCTCAAAATTTAAGGATAATATTAATGCTGAAAATAATCTTTTATTTAAATTTGATAATTTTTATTTATACGCAAATAATTTAATTTTAAATAATTACAGTTTATTTTTTTGTATTTGTGTCATTTAAAGTTGTGGGCGAAACCAAAATCTTAAGGTCGAAACGTTTCGGCTTTCAAGAACGAAAATCCGAAACTTTCCGAT